TACCAGCGAGTTCTACTGTAGCAGTCGGCGACTTCAGTTGTACAGCCGCCGAGTTATAACGTGGCCATCGCCGAAGATAGTTCCGAGCAAGCTTACGAGAGCGTGTTATCAACAGTTCTCCAGTCAGCGGACTATAGTTGGAGTATAGCAGCCGTCGCGGTAAGAAGATCCGGACGTGTGTGCGATTGTGTAATTGGGAGCGTGTGATACAGTGATACAAAGCTCCCCTACGGTAAACGTGTAGACTACTGAAGACAGAGTGAACTGATTTGCGCATAGGGTTAGAAATCGTGAAACCCCGCAACAGTGTTAACAGATTAATGCGATTAGGGTTATAAAGTGTGAAACCCCGCAACTGTGTGATAAGTAATTGTAGCCGTTATTTGTAGATTGTTAAATAAACCAAATAACCATCTCTATGGCGTCTTCAGTAACGTAAACACGGTACATTATATTTGCTTCATTTGTTTAGCAACCTTTCTTCCTTTTCTGAGAGTTGAATGTTAGTCATATTGCGCAAACGTGGATAAAATGTTTGCTTATTAGGTGAGTGTGTGCTTCCGTGTAGTTGTAGTTGACTAGATAGTTTGTCAATTTTATTATTTAGTTGAATATAGTGTTTTTTTGATTCCTCAATTAGTCTTTGGTTTACATCGCTTTCTATCAAAGGCCAGCTGGTCTGCCAATATTGTGCATTTCTTAGACGCAATTTGTATAGTTGGTTGTTGATATTTTGTTTCTTAATATATAAGAATTTTAATTCATTATTTATTCTAAGTTTAGTTAGTTATTTTTTAGTTAGCTTTGCAGCATTACTTGTCCCTTTTAAACGTAGGTTGGCGTACTTTGATATGATGTTTTTGTTTTGACAGGTTCAATTGAACCATATATGCGCGTTGGTTCTTAGTAGTTTCCTTTTCGTATTGATATATTGATTTACCAGTTTAGCTTGACTAGTTTTGATGAGTTTGATTTGTTTCATTCTGGTCCGTCACAATAACAATTACAAATTAAAAAATCACTCCGTCCAATGTGACCTGTAAGTTTTTTACTACGTAAAAACTTAACACCCTTACATGTTTCGGTCTCTGTGGACCATCTTCAGAGGGCAAACATCACTACAAATAGGAAACCACTATCACATAATTTGTTTACACGCAAAGTATGTACACTTATATGTTACAACACACAGTACACAGAATAGAACGTTTCACAAACACAGCAGTTTCCTGGGAATGTAAGTTTAAGAATGTAAGAATGTAAGTTGGACTCTTTCATTGAGTATTTTATAAGAGTAAAATGGAACATTGCTTCAGATGTAAGATTTGAGGCTTTCACGGTGGTGACTATGAAGAAAGCAGTCTTCTGGGATTTGGCACCGTGTATATGTGGTGTTAACCGACGTTTCGGAGGAACGTATCGCCTCCATCTTCAGGGTAGAAGAAAAAATATAAGAAATCTGCAAGCGAAGAGACTGTGAGAACCAGTAAAAGCTTTTACCGGTTTACTGGTTCACTTGCAGATTTCTTATATTTTTTCTTCTACCCTGAAGATGGAGGCGATACGTTCCTCCGAAACGTCGGTTTCGGTGCCAAATCCCAGAAGACTGCTTTCTTCATTGCTTCAGATGTTGAGCGTATGCTGTGAAGTAAATGTATTCTGTCAGTAGGCAGACTCATTTTACAGTAGGTTGGACATTTTCCTTGCAATGACCAAGTTCATGGCTTGTAATTTGAAAAGGTTCATAAAACTTTAGTTTCTTCTGACACTAGTCTTCACAGATATTTTCCCTGACCATCTTAAGATTTCAACAGTCACACTCTTTTACAAAAAGGTGACAGAACTAGTGTGACAAACTATAGGCAAATTTCCTTAAGTACTTCACAAGGTTGTGTACAGTAGATTAAGTAATTATTTGTAGACTAATAACATGCTGGATCCAGAACAGCCTGATTTTAGGAAACGAATATCCACTGAAAATGGAATACAATCTGTTAACCAAAATATGCATATTGGGAGGATTATTCTGTTATACAGGAAAAGGTTTTGACTGTGTAAATCATAACAAATTGCTAATTAAATAACATTCTAATAAAGAATTATAAACAATTCCTTGGTTTACAAGTTGATAACTATTGAAATTGGAAAACCATATTGATCAACTGATACGTAAGGTAAGCAGAGCACATTATGCAGCTAGATGTATGTTACATATCAGGAACACTAATGCTCAAAACAATTTTTTGTCCATTTCCTTTGTAATTAAGTATGGAAGAAATTTATGCTGCAAAAGAAAATTGTTATAATTCTGGCAGGTGTCAAACCTAGAAATACGTGCAGAGGTCTGGTTAGAGATTGGAGATCTTACCTTTTCCATGTGAATGTGTATTTTCATTAACAAACTTGCAAATAGCCAAGAATATTTTCAGATTGATTCAGCTGTACAATGTTAACATAAGCAATCCCCTCTTCCTAGACCATGTGTAAACCTCTTGTCAACCTGGCATCAAAAGTTTCAACAGTCTACCATCTAAACTCAAAAGTCTTATGAATGAAGACATAATTTAAGGTAGCACTAAAAATACATATTCAGTCTATTAACTCAAAAGTCTTATGAATGAAGACATAATTTAAGGTAGCACTAAAAATACATATTCAGTCTATTCTGTTGATGAATTTCTGTCATCTAAAAATGCCTCATAATCTCAAAGGTTTGTCATAAATATCGTATGTGGAAAGTATTGGTGCAATCATTATATGAACTGCTTGTGTATTTTATTTTTATTTATTATCATTATTATTATTTTTTTTATTTTTTAGAAAGCTTAAGTTGTGCTGTACTTTTATGAGCTGCCCTACATCCTATGGCCAAAGTGACTAGCTTTGGATTCGTGCAATGTAAATAAATATGTGTGTATGCATCATCTCTTAAACGAAAATTCCCGCCATAAGGTCCGTGATTTATAATCGGCTGCACGGGAAGGACGAAATCATTGATCGTATGCGCTGAAGAAAACGAATAGGCATTTTGACTAATGCAGTGCAATATTTGAACCAACACACTTCGAAGAGAGACTTTTTATTCTACGAGCGCATAGGTGTGGTAACGCTAGTTCTTCGTAGAAAATTCGTAATTCCAATTCACGAGTTGCACACGTGGGTTACACTGTCAGAATCAGATTAACTTGAAATCAGAATCGATTTAAACGATCTAAATGAACAACCGATTTGAACGATCTACACAGTCATTGCGGGTCAATAAGCGTGGGTTATTGGTCTGTTAGGTTATGCCGACAGAGAGACAATCATATGGAACGAAGTGTAATAAAGGCTATGACATTATAAATGCCTTGCAAGGTATGTATGTAGTGTGTATAGAAGAGTTTATTTTGCATACGATCTTTTTTGAGTTGTGCTTGTATTCTGTTTTGTAAGCAAACGATCTTAGACTAATCCTGGACTCCTAATTTCACATGGTTTTGGCTGAAAATGTTCGAGAAATTTATACGGCAGCTTCTTTTTATTTACAAGTGACTGTTTATGAAGCTGTAGCAAAGACATATTTCATGTTCCCGATATAGACTCGGGGTAATTAAATAATATTGTAGGAATTTCGTAGCACTTCATGAACAAATACGTTGCTAATTACTGAGCATATATAACATTGCATAATAAACACGGTATTCTCGCGAAACAAAGTTGAAATGTGATTTTATTAACATCAGATACCCGTCTAAGATGAGATATGTATATAATTGATTAATCTCAATTTTATTTGTCTAGACGAAGATATCTTGGTCTGTATAAGAGCATTATATGTGAGAGGGTCTAGTGAAGATTAGAACGTTATTGACAGGTGCTTGTAATATGTAGTATTTCAGTTGGCGTAATTTTTTCAAAGTGATCGAGGATTTCCAAGATCACGAGCAAGCAGGCATAAGAATTGCGGAGATATTTTTATATTTGAGGCTGGCACTTCGGCGATTCTGAATTTTATTCCTGTACCTTGAAGGTGGTGGCAGCAGATTTTTTTTTTCTAGTCTACTTGTCTATCAAACTACATGACGGCACATTCCAGAAGACATTAACCTTTATTCTGGATTTGATGTTGTCACACAGTTGAAGAGTGCTGCCATCAGGGCTGTGACGCTATGGAATTAGGAGTTTCCTGCTGTTTCGGAGGATCTATCATCAGAGCCGAAGAATAAACCAAGCAAGCAACCAACAGGTGTCATTTTCATTGTAGGTGTAAGAGGCGTCATGTGCAATTGAAACTGCAGCATCATTCAGCAGATCATTCAGAGAACACTGTTGGGATATTATTTCATGAAGTAATGGCATACTACAATTCCGATGAATGTACCTTGAACACATTATGGGAAACAGTTAAGTGTGAAAGGCAACTGTTTGTTCAAATGCCTGTGGATAAGAATGTGTTCACAGGTGCTCCAGCCATAGATATTTATACTGCAGCAAATATAGGAGATTATGATGTCATATATCATGCCCTGAATAGGTAACTTGAATTTAGATTTTAGTATTTAGTTCCATAAATTTATGTATCTGATGCAGTAGCTTTGCATTTAATTTTTAAAGAAGCATGTGGTATGTCTTCCTCAGGCATCTTTCAATGTAGCATTAATGTAGATATCGTTTAAAATGTTTGAACTCTCAGCTGGTTTGAAGGGGAAATACATAATAACTTATGTTACAATCCATAAAACTGTAGTATCTTCCATATTTTCCATGTATAAGACCTTTTTCTCCCCTTCAAAAAAAATCCCCATGAATAGCAGTTAATTGTATCCCCCTTTTGTTCAGTCCATAGGAGGGTAACTATGAAAATGAGGCATGTCAGTATTAGAACCATCATTAATGACTAATTTATAAATAAGTTATAATTAATTAGTAAATAATGCATTTAATAGACTCTAACTAGAAGCTGTAAAAAGTACTTCTATATTCTCCTTCCTAAATGATTGTACTCAATCTTATACACAGTAACTAATGTCAAAATATGTAGGATATGATGTTTGTACAGCAACATACCTGATATTAATACCAACAATTATAATTATTGTAAAAAAAATGTATTTTTCTATCCTAAATACTCTAGTGTGATCAGTAAAAATAATCCAGAATAGCTTAAATGTATGTTCACAAGCAGTTTTTCTGGTGCCCCCACCCTTCTAGAAAAAGATCCAGAAATCATGTGTCACTTATGTTTTTGATGAGGTTAGTTTTAATTATATTATTATAGTTTCTTCAATAAAACTATATTGTAAATGGCATTCAAGTGGAGTGTAACAGTAGGAGATTGTAGAGGACCATGGTAAGGGGAAAGCAACTTAATTTCTACAGTTTTCCCCAAAATGCAAAAAGAACTCAATTTTCCATACTATCAGGCCCTTGTAATAATGAGAAATGTACCGAAACAAATGAATAATTCTAGAGAATGAAATATAATAGTCTAGGCATTATCAGAAACATTGTCATCTGTTAAAAAGATGAAGTTATTCAGAGATATTCATGGGTATGTAATTTGTATAGTGCAGTTAGAAATTTCAAGAATCTTGTTTTTCGGTAATAGGTGACTACAGATGATACCAACGCGTGGATCACTAAATGATTCCAAGCATTCATTCATTCATTTATTCAGCATTCCATAAATCCTTACATGGTTAAACACCAATGGATGTAGAAGTAGTCAACATGAGTAAACATGATCGCATACTGCATCACAATTGTGTGATGTCATACCAGTCAACCATATAAAAATATTAACAATACACAACATGAACAAAAACCATCATCTATAACAATAAAGCGCTATCAACTACCACCTGTAACAAATCCAAAACTTTAATTGTTGCCACAGTTAAAATATTCGTCCAGCGAATAAAATGAATTTAAAAATAGGAATCTTTTAACAGCAGATCTAAATGTTTTAATCTCATGGGCTTGGTCTTTTATATTAGGTGGAAGTTTATTAAAAATTTTAATTCCAAAATAATGTGTTCCCTCTTGAAAGACAGTTAAGTTACACGAGCATGAAGGAGAGGCAGGAGGTAACCACTCCAGACTTTGAAGGGCTTGGTATAACATATTCTGCAGTATTAGTTTAGGGCTCTGCTAAGTGGGAAATTAGTTACCAGCCTAAATTATTAGCCAGCCACTGATAAACAGGTGACCATATTTTTCAAATTCTGTGTGTAGACAGAGTATACTGCATCTGTTATCCAACAGAAAAATTGCTTTGATGTTTATTCAGTTAACTTTTTGCTGTCAGTGAAGTAACAGTCACTGAATGGGTGGACATCCTGCAGTCTTTGAAGTATCCTGTTGGGTTAAGTGATCCATGTCAAATTGTTTTAACAAAATTCCCAGAAGATAACAATTTGCTAATTTGTGTTCAGTACATGTATTTTTTTTTGCAGTAATGATAATGGTAGATTGTTGATGAAGAATGTAAGTGGATGGACTCCCTTGATGTATGCCTGTTATAGTGACCATGACAGAATTGTACAACTGCTGATATCATGGGGTGTTGACGTACATGACCGTAATAACGTAGGAGAGACACCCCTCATGCTTGCAGCTTTAAACGGCAATGCAAAGACCCTGGGGTTAGTATATAAGGTAAAGTACAAATTTTTGTATGCAGTAGAGCCACAACAAACAAGTTTCCTGTGCTCCAGAATTATGTATGTAGTAGGACATTTTCAGTAAACAAATACAGATATAAAACTGGGAAGGATATTGCGTAAATGGGGACTACTCATTGCTTATTTTATTGAGGAACCAATTACAATGATGGAAATTTTGTTTTTCATATGATCCTCAGGTGGTTGCCACAGCTGCATCCTCTCACATTTTAAGTCATCATGCAATATCTTATTCTCAGCTACATAAGCTCTGCAGATTATGCAGCTACGTAGTAAACAAATGATATCTTTGGGTGTACTGTGTTACTTTACTGTAGTTGTAAGGCCCCTCTTTTTGATAATCTGATATTACTTTACATAAGTTTCTACTTTTTCTTCAAAACATGGATTTTGGTCAGTTGAAATTTCTTTACTCAGGCTTGTGTTAACACACTAAGGACCGGCGATGTAAATATTTAAATCACCCTGGGGCTGCCATTATTAAACCTACTATCCTGACTTGTGCACTGATCACTTTAAAAATTAATATAAAATCTCCTAATTAATTTTATGAACCAACATTTTTGGAGAACACTTACCAATGCTCCTAGAAGTGCTTGAGGGTGTGATATTTCTGGAAACATTCCCCTTTGTGAAGTGGCATTACACAGAACTTGCAAATGTAGACATACTCCTTGTTATGTGAACTGTGCAAACATGGCATTGCCTAGAAGGATGCTTCCCCTTGGAATGTTCACTCTTCACAGTTTTCACAAGGGTATGTTTCCGCATATCACCCAAGTGTCACCCTGGGGCGTCCACATGAGGCCTGCGTGGGGTGGGAGTTGATGGGCCCGGTTGCACTAAGTCTGTGTCTGACTCTGGTTCTGCCGCCACCATCTGGTAGCCCAGGCCTTTGCCACATTCATCAGAAATGCTTTGTAGTTCAATTTTGAATGAGGATTTAAATTTTTGTGATTTTTTTAGATTATTTACTGTCCCTGCAATGTTATTTATTACCCCCCATTATCGTCAGAGCTACTGTCACTTTTACTGTCTGTGGCCACAATTCTTTGTTCTCCCTTGTCACTGCCACTCTCTGAATCACCATGACTACACGTCTCACAAGGCAGGCCAGCTAGCTCATCGGAGAAGAATTTGTCCATGTCCATACCACACCACTATCTACTGGCTGATACATACAGCTTGAAGAGCAGCAAAGCATTTTCGTTTATAATGGGTTAAAAACACAGCGAGGTCAAAGTTACTGACAAGTAAGCAAACATTCCAGAGTTTTATTATGCCAATTCATGCAACTTGGATTGTGCCAGAGCAAGGTATAGTGTGTTACAACCTAACCTATCCTAAAATCATGATATCATGCAATCGGTCCGCCACGTTTAAGAGCCAAAAGAATGGTATCATGTGACCAGTCCTCACTGTGTTGAACTACTCTGGTTAGAATTTCTCTTCATTATGCTTCAACTTTTTGAAAGTTGCTTCTTCTTTTGCTTATTCCTTGATCTCACTTTTTTCCTCCTCTTCCTCCTTATCACTCTTCAGTGTTTGCACCATTATGTGGAACCATTAATTCTGTCTTCCCAGAGTTCCTCCACCATTCTCTCTTCCCTTTTCATGACTTCTTTCCTAATCAATTGTGCCCATTTTTATACTTGTCCTCCTCTTTCATTTTATTTCATGTTCCCCATTATTTTGGGGCTCATTTTTATGTCCATTCTTTAACATGTTCATATCATCTTAATTTGTTATTTGGCGAGTTAGTTTCAGGACTCTCTGTCTTTAAACTCTGGCCACTTTTGCTCATTATTCTCTCTCCCCATGAGTGTTGAGGTACTAACTATTTCTGTTTGCTTGAACGCATCCACTCTGTTGGACATCTCATGGTTGTGTGCTGGTGTGTCACACACACAGCCATGTGATCACATGCACCACAAATAGATTTTGTTTGAAGAAACCTTTGATATGCTCTCAGGACTATATTATCAACTTGACAGACAAACGAGGCTGGAGTGCCCTTTTTCATGCTGTATCCAGGAGACGGCAGAATGCTGTCGCGTTTCTACTTAAGCATGGAGCAGATGTTAATTTAGTGTAAGTATACCCTTTAATTTAATTAATACGAAATATTTAGCTTTACACTTTTATTCCTGTATAGCAGGACTGTCTGTCTTTGGGAGCATGCAGTGTCATAGGTGGTTGGTGCACTATATTATGAGCCAGAACGTCATGGGTTCAATTCCTGATGAGATCACATTATTTTTCAACTGATCTAATCCTTCCAGCTGCACTGTGGCCCTGGGGTCAACTCAACCTCTAACAGAAATGACTTCCAAGAATCTTCATGGGGGTAAAGGGGGCCAGCACATAAGGCTGACAACCTGACCACAATCTGTGAGGCGTTTGTCTCAAAAATGTGAAAGCCTCAACGTCTTACAACCATATGAGCCTCCATGGCCTGTTGCAGAGATGGCTTTACCTTTTTACCTTTCTGTCTTCTAACCACTGAGGGGCTGCATTGTATCTTAGATACTTACCTGCGGGCCATATCACAAATAGTATTTTCCCAATATATTGTCATATGTTTGGAATAGGCACTTCCACGGTAACGCAATAACAGCAGGCCGTTGCGTAGACAATGCCGAAACAATGAACACGTTCCCCTAGAGATGGTCAACAGAAGGCCCGTTTAGTAACAACAGATGAGACGAAACTCGTTACCAGTGTATAAAGAGCATTCCCGAAGCAATGGATTGCCGAACATGCGAGATCGAACCTTGGCAATGGGTGTCCTCTGCTGAGTCCGCAGAACACCTACATAAGCTGAGAGCTACAGACAGCAAAAACACAGTTGGAACCTAGTCGCCATACAAGACAGTTGCAAGATAGCCACTGCAGAATACAATTGAAGTGATAACAATTGTAAGGTGTGTAAGATTGAGTGTCCAATAAAGATTCGCTAAATCCGAGGCCCACGTAAAGTTATTTGTCATGTGACACACCCAACACATGAAAATATCAATACCAAATATCTACCCTGCAATGATGAGATCTGTGAAGCACAGACACACACAAGAATGGTGCCCATAAAGTTTAAAAACATCTTTCTAAATAAAAGGCTGGCCGTACTTAAAATCAGCTGCACAAGGTTTGCTAGAATGGATCAATACTGCATATGATCTAAGCTCTTTATGTAAAATTCCTTCACAAAAGTCACTGCCCTTCTTGAAGATGAGGAAAGTGTTGATAGATATTGTGCAGAACGGAAGGAAATACTTATGGACCACACTGAACCAACTCATGTGCAAGGCAGCGCCATAGCTCAAATGGTTAATCGCTGGCTTCCCACCAAGGCAGCCTGGGTTCGATCCTGGGTCTGGTCAAGTGGGATTTGCGGTGGACAAAGTGGCGCTGGGGCAGGTTTTCTCCGAGTACTTCGATTTCCCTTGCCAATCTTCATTCCACCAATTGCTCCATAATCACCCTCACCTATCTGGGGCTGGTACAATAGGCCAGAAGTGGCTGCAGTACAAGGGACTTAGTCCCACCCCACTAGCAATAAAAAAAACCGATATGCTTCCAGCTGGGCAGCTGTGTTCTGTGGGTGGTAGACTGTAGAAGTGGACAGGGATGAAGCAGTGGGGTTACAGAAGTATAATAAAATACCTGTAAAAAAAGTAAAGCTATCCCTGTAACAGGCCGTGGAGGCCCATAGGGTTGTGAGACGTTGAGGGTCCCACATTTTCTAGACCATCAGCTCATAGATGGTGGTGAGGTTGTCAGCCCTATGCGCTGGCCGCCCTTATATTCCAAGAATATTCCTGGTACTGATTTCTGTTAGGGGCTGAGTTGACCGAAGGGCCATAGTGCTGCTGGAAGGATTAGGTAAATTGAAAAAAATCCAATGACCTCATCGGGATTTGATCCCACAACCTTCTGGCTTGTAGCATAGTGCCTCAACCAACTACGCTACTGCGTGCCCGCAAAATACATGTAATATTTTGAATTTTGTTCAGTCAATGGAGCTTGCAGCTGTTTCATATTGTCTTACTAGTTTCATGTTGCCGTACTTAAATATAGTCCAGTCACAATATTACGTAGGTTTCTACACTGCAGTTTCTGATATACCACAAGAATGATGGCTTCCCACCGATTTTTATTGTGTTCTAGCCCTCTGGGTCCCTTTTCTTTAAAATTTAATTCTATTGCATTACATAAATGGGCTGCAGTGTTTTCTGAAGTTACATTTTATAAATATGCATCAGTCTCAATTAAGAACTTTCGGATGTACACTTGGTCGTTGACTCACGACCTATGTGACTTATGACCACAAACGAATGAAAAATAAAAGATGATTAAAATGTAAAAGTTTTAAAAATAAATTATAAAGGTGATAAAATGATTAGAAAAGTTAATACTGTTGTCAGCCAGTTGGGTTTCCGTACATTCTAGACAGTGTGAGAGGTCATGGGATGGGATCCTGCTTTGCTCATTTACTATGATAGTGTGTAAAATGTCACTGTTCGTCTTCTCCTTCAGACACAACAGTGAACAACTGAAGATAAGAATTTTGTTACATTGCCTCACCATTGCGTGTGGTACCAGCTATTAAACAGTGTCCAAATATTGCAGTAGAGTTTATGGTTGCCAATGAAATCCATATTCGCGTTCTGTTATTTAATTACATGAATAAACTATAATTTCTTAGTTTGAATATTATTCCCTTTTTAAAGTTTTAACTGCTGTGTACTGTGATACTTTCAAGGAAAGCAGCCATATCCAAAGTGAAGAACAGGGACTTCTGTTTGTATGATTACAAAATCTAATTTGAAACACCCTGCTCTTACCATATAAACCAGTGTTGGCTGAAGCTGTTACTTTGTTTAACAGTGCTCGTGACAATGGTAACACAGTGTTGATGATTGCTGCTGCTTCAGGGAAGGCTGGGGTCGTGAAGATGCTTCTAGCAGCAGGAGCTGACCCTTGCAAGGTGTCCTGGGAAGGAGAAACTGCAATATCTATAGCTCATTCTTATGGGTTCTTTGATATTGTAAGAATGTTGTCATTCAGTGCCAGGTTCTGTGGTACGTTTCTTTTGCCATGTGTTCCTTTTTGTTTTATTTAGTGACGCTTTCAGTAGCCCACACTGTATGACTGACTGACCACTTGGGACATAATATTATTTTCCGACATTTGGTATCTCGGTATGAATGTAGCTGTCTTTCCAGAAGTTTTCACGTTATTGATGTCAGATATGTTTACTTACGTTCCCAGAGGAGTTGCACATTAAGAAAGACATTGAAATCTTGTAGCATGGCTAATATTATTTATTGTTGTTGTCCCATATTGATGTGTTTTGAGTAGTACTTACCTAAACTGCTTTAATGGAGAAATGACAGTGGTGTGGAAAATTAATGTTTATGAGATAGGACTAAGAGAGGAAGGAAATACATGTGTAGAAGAGATAAATTAAAGGGAGAAAGTGGTGACAAAGATGCAAAAGAAATTACTTTCCATCAAGTGATTAAATCCGTGACCAGATGACGGGATATTCTCACATTCCTTCATGGTTTATCCCAATTCTTCCACGAAACTTCCAAGACTTTCCCATGCACTGAAGTGTCACTACCAGCCAGTGTACGTGTGCATTATTGTGGCTTCTCTTTCATGTTGGTATTTATAGATTGTTTTAATTAAACTGTATGTAATCTGTAAACAATAAAAGTATAATTTATAGCATTATGTTGTAGGACTCTTGGGTCTGTAATACAGGAGAGCAGGCTCTGTGGGCCTCTGCCTGGAACTGCTTGTTGTTACATTGTCTTCATTTTTTTCAGAGTTGCCCTTGATTGATTTACATAATCTGTTCAGTTCACTGGAGCTTATGGATTATTGGCCATTGTTCCAAAGACAAAATATTGACATGGAAACTTTTTATTCACTCACAGAAAACAACTTGAAGGATATTGGGGTTATGTGAGTATTACATGTTATTTACAATAGATGTTCCAGATTTCTTAGAAACTGATGAATGGGTGACTCATTTAGGCTTGATAATCTAATGGACTGCACTCCTGAGATAGCATGCCTACAGGTCGCTCAATTTGTTTAACTCATCACATAAACCCGTGGTGATAGAGACAATGTTTGAAATTCCAGTTTTATTTAATATGCAGTATAATGAAAATATAATTTATGTCTCCATACAGGTTGGGGCACTATGCTACAAACTGGGAGGTCACGGGTTCAAATCCTGATGAGGACATTGGATTTTTTTAAATTGACCTAATCCATCCAGCCGCACTGTGGCCATGGGGTCGACTCAGCCTCTAACAGAAATGAGTACCAGGAATTAAATAATTTTCCTGGGGAGTAAAGCGCGGCCGGTGCGTAAGGCTGACAACCTTACCACCATCTTTGAGCTGATTGTCTAGATAGTGGGACCCTCAACGTCTCCCAACCCTACGGGCCTTCACAGCCTGGTACAAGGATAGCTTTACTTTTTTTTTTTTTTTTGCTATTACTCCATACAGGTTAGTGCTTGTATTGTTGATTATCTCTACCAATAGTAGACTCATGTTCTTCATTCTAGTCGCATGGGACCACGTAAAAAGATGGCTTCCACTATCTTGCAATGGAGAGAGCAGCGTCGTCCTTCACATGCTCAGTTGTGCCCTGTGTGTCAAAGACAGTATCTATAACAGCAAACTTGTAATCTGCCTTTCAGTTCCACAATCTTAAAGTTAAAGAGACTGTTACTCAGGGTTGATGCATATATTCTTCATTTTATTTATGTATACATGTGTATCTATGATGTTGACTGATTGAATATTTTATCAGGTGACTTAGCAATAATTTATACCTAAATTTAAAAAATCAGAAAAAAATTAACTCCATACAATTACAAATACGGTGACATTTTTATAAAAGAGCTTAAATTATGTTTTAGGAATTTGTCAACTCCCAGTTATCATTTATCTTATATTTATGACGTAAGTTAAATTTGTGATGTTTAATTTATTTCATTTTAATTTGATATGCAGCTTAATTGTGTCAAGGAACATTCATCTTACTGTGAAGATCTTTTATGGGCTGTGATTTATTATAATATTTTTATACATATTTTTTTACTATGGTAATTGATAAAATGTAACAAGCCAAAGAAACACTGCTTCACTTTTGACTGGAAGAAGCAAGATGATGAATCTGGCATTATACTTATCTCTCATGGTTAGTGTTTATTTCTGGCTCATAAGTACTGACTTAAGTTTATAATTTATACACGCTACAGTATGCATCTTAATTGCTTCTCCCAGTTTAAGTCCTAATTGTGTATAATGCAGCACCGAGGAAAATTATGATTGCATTAATGTTACTCTGTAATTACTGAAATTAAATACTATTTAAAGAAAATCTTGATTTTATGAAGTATATGAAGTTGCACAATTAAAATAGTTTTAATTGCTTTTCTGTTGAGGGTGTAAAGCATGCATCAGCTAGTCTGGCCTGCAAGCAGTTCTCAGTAGTCTAAGATTTAAAGAGCACCTAAAGAAGCTCTTTGCAGCAGTCCCTTAATTGACACATGATCATATGAAGCCAGTGAAGGCTGCTCAAATACATGACTGCAGTTAAAATATAAGGTACATGCACAGCAAGCTGGCTGATGTAGCAGTAACCCTTTAGACTTATGTTTGGGGAGGGGGTGTTCCTTGGTTTGAATCTTGGCTGGGATCTCGCTATCTTGACTGAAGTTTCTGTTGTTTTCGTGTCCCTCCAGCCAAATGTTAGAATAGTATTTCTGTTAGGCCATAGCAGATTCTTTCCAAATTCTTTTTTTTTTTTCTAATTCTTTCCAGTTCATCAGTTTTTGTACATTTAGCACAACATAGGCTAACCCACAAAAGAAAATACATGCACACATTACGGAAATTTGAAAAAAAAACGAACCCCATTGAAATGTAGATAATGGGAAGTTTTTATAAAATAAGCTTAAATTATATTTTTGGACTCCTTAAACTCCAAAGCTCATTTATTATATATTTATGATAATAGGCTGAGAATTTATAAGTTATATTTATGATTATATTTAATTTATTACACTGTAATTTGATATGCAGCTTAATACTTGTAAGGAAAAATCACCTGCTTTTTTTTTGAGCTGTTCTGTTTTAAAGAGTTGAAAAAAATGCCCTTTACGGTGACCTTATATTTATGGTATGGTATAGGATAGGGACCAGTGGAGGGCTCTTGTGAACACGGTAATTAACTGTCTGGTTCCATAAAATTTTGGGAAATGCTTGAGTAGCTGCACAACTGGCAGCTTCTCATGAAGGCCTCAGCTCCATGGAGTTAGTTAGCCTTAGCCAGGCTAGTGGCTTGAGGCTTTCTCAGAGAAACACCATTGTCTCTTTTCGTAAAATCAGTGTCCCATTGTTCACCTGCTTGGCCATTTGTACCTTGGGCCATGGTCCTACGTATATAGCTGCTTAATGCCCCCAGGTGCAAGGTACAAGATGGGGTTTTAACATTTATTTGTATGGAAAACCAATCTTGGTCAGTATCACATTAGAACTCCATAAACTATAAAGAAAATAGAATATATGTTAATTTTTAATAATTTCCCTTATTTTTTTCTCAGAAAATTTAGAATTTTTGTTTAATACTGTATAAGTAGAATAGATGTTAAAAAATGTAAATCCTACAACTGCAATGGACTGATGCTGTTTGCCACTGTTTGGTATGGTTCATCCCGAACAGCCTATCAGTGTGTCACCATTTCTTCCTCTCCTAGGTCACACTGCAATGTTTCACCTTCCTGGGTGTAACCTACAAATTTCCTGGCCAAGGCTAATAGGTCCATAGAGCCTCTGAAGTCTCTTCAGTGAACAGGTCTGACCAGCTGGCATATGCTAGTAATAATTGTGGTAATTCAAGTTACTGCTTTCATGGCATTACACTATCAGTAAGACAGTCTGTAATTTTGGTAGCATACGGAATGAATGTTGCTCAGGCTGATAACTATTTTCCAGTCTTTTGAGTCGATACATGAGTTCACACACAAACACATTCTCTTCCTCAGAACAACTTCAGATGTCCAGATACTGTGTCCACAAGGTTGACAGGTCCAGGGCCTATCCCCAGCACAGTTTTGGAGCCTGGAGCTACCTGGGTGCATCCAGCATCACATACAAGACTTGTGATGAGCCCCTGGTTGCGAGCCTTGTGAGCAAGCTCCAGTAACTCGCGTTCTGTTTCCACTTTGAGCACTACCTTGGCCTGTCCACAGGCTTGCCAGAGTCTGAGAACAGCGGGCTGGTGGTGCAAGGCCTGTTCATATGCCATGACTGCTGCATGGGAACACTGAGCTGCTGCTTTTCCTTTTTCCATCTTCAAGTCTGTTTGAACAACAAGAGCCAACTTGAAATTATCTTCATCTCTGGAGGATCTAATAACTTCAGCTAGATTCCGGCCCCTATGCCGCTTCTTCTTTGCTACGGAAGTTTTCCCTGCGGCCTCATCCTTAGGGACTTCCCAGTGCTCCACTCTGGACTCCATCTTTTCTGGATTGGCCTCTGTTGCTTGTTGGCAGACCATTCTCTCTTTTTGATCATCCCTCATGCTTGCTCTCCAGGCATCCATCTTCTCTTGGAGGGTATTTACTGTGGACTTCATCTCTTCTTGGTTGGCATCGATCAGGGAAACGAGAGTACCTTGAAGGACCTCAAACTTCTCATTACTGTCCATTATCATGGCTTCCATCATGGTCAGAATTTCTTCTTTCATTTCCTTTAGAATTTTTCCCATCATGGGTTTCATCCTGGCCAGAATTTCTTGGTTGGTGTTCATATTGGCGTCCATCTGTACCTGCATGGCCTCCATCCCTGCTTGGTTGGCGTCCATTTTGGAGGCTAGAGAACCTATCTCCGTTTCCATCCCTTCTTGCATGGCTTTCGGGGGTTCCAACATTTGTTCCCCTTCCATAGTGTGGCGATATAATTTATTCTGCAGTATTCAATCCAATCAGACCCTGACACAAGTTGTCACATGTATTAGTGACTATAGAAGGGGTTCTGATTAGTAATTGGATATATTGATTATGTACGAGTCGTAACTACAAATAAGTATAACACTGTTATGCTTTTCACACTACAAAGTACTCCACACTAGAGCTCAGTCTTCTGTCACTAGTCTTCGTAATAGCTCTCAACAATGGCTATTCCTTTACAATATTTTCACTATCTGATTCCTTGCAACGGATTTTAACACAGTAACCTCACCTCCTCTGTAATCCTACAGCCGCTAGCCTCGGAATTCGGCTTACTTATATAGACGCGGCACGGACCCACAGAAAACACTGCTCCTGCGTTATTGGCCGCGTTACTGTTGCGGGGTTGCCTAGCAATGAATCTGCATGTCGCAGTACTTAGGCGAAATAAGTCGACTGGAGCAATTTTAAGAGCTTATGCCATGAATAATAATAATAATAATAAGAAGAAGAAATAATTTAGTGTAGTAGAATGCAGTTGCCTCATTATGCTTTGCCGTCGATCCCTTTAAATGAAGTAAATCGAAAACGTATGTTGGCATCCTTGTTACTATCTTCCTATTTTTTTTTCCCACGGACATATCGATAGTTTTATTATTCTGTCGATACGGTAATTATTCGCTTTGTCTTGCCATCTGGTGTTTGAAAAGAGAAATTCATATCCGACGTAATTATTTTACAGTTTCGGGTACCCAGAATGAAGAAATTTTTAATTTGAAAACTATAGAGCGCTGTTCTTTGATACGCAGTTGTTTGTTATTCCTTGTTTAAATAAGGTAGAGATGTTGTAATACTAATACTGGGTCCACAATGATCAAACTAATGTCGAGGACCAACGTGGACTCGTGTTACAGAGGTATATCTTAATATATTACATCTCAAGGATCTGAGAACGAATTTTAGGCAGTGTAGTAATTATACTTTGTACAGTTTTGGTTGCAGATGTAGATCGTGTTGTAACTATTCAGGGAAGTTTTAGATGTGATTATAAGACTGATGTCAAAATCCCTAACCTCATTTGCTTTTCATGGAAAGGTTTAGCTAATTTATTATAATATCACTTTGCAGATTATGATGCCAGCCATATAATGTAATCTATGAAACAGTTCTGCACTCTTGTTGCTGTAGGTTGTTTATTGTACCTGTGTTGTAACCAGTATTACGGCATGGCCTGGAGATCCCATGGCAGGGATAACGCCGACATGGTCCGTAATTTGAGAGGTAAGGATCATTTGTTCCCCCCCCCCCCCGTGATTAATATAATTTTGATGACTTGGGCTGTAAAGATAATAAGTTTTATTTTCAGTCAATGGTATTATTCGAAGTCAAATTGTGGAAGATGTCATGCTGAAAGTGGACCGTGGAAAGTATGCTAAATTCAACCCATATATGGATGCTCCTCAGGGAATTGGCTATGGAGTCACAATTAGTGCGCCTCATATGGTATTGTATATACTGTGTTACATATAAAATGTGTGTGTTACTGCTAAATGAGTCATTGTGTGTTGTTTTTGATAATGTATGTTATTCCATTCATATTAAATAACTATTTCAGTCCTTTCCATTGCACCCTTTCTGTTATTCTTTGTTTTTCACGCATTCCACTTCTTTCATCATTTCTAATGCTGGCCATTCTTGATGATTTTACTCTTCTTCACAAATAATTCATTTCCATTTCGAGTAGTTTAGTTTCTCCCCCCTCATACTGAGTTACTAGTGCAATATGAATCAGAGTCTTGCATTGTGGAGCTGTTACAGACATCCTCACAGAATTAGAACGGAATGTTGTTAGAACCATAGAAGTGAACTAAGCTTGATTGAAGCTTCATCTTACAAAATTTAAGTTGATTTGAACCCTTAGGTTCTAGAATGTTAAGAGTAATATTTATTTATTATTTTCTGCGTGTCCAAACAAACACATTGTGACACTGATGTTTACTGCCTAATCATGTAGTTTGTATAAAAATATTTATGGCAAGATGAGTAATAAAGGAATAATTTAAGATGCCTTCTCAAAATCACTTGAATTACTTTCCTTTTCATATGGATTTATTAAATAAGTTCATTAATTTTAATGTCTTTCTCTATTACTGTGATTCATAAAAAAAAATCGAATTTATGGCTTAAAATTTACAAAACTGTTTACATAATATGTCTAGCACATCAGTGTGTGGGTTTCAATTCTGAAATAACAAAGTGCAGATTAGTTGAATGTCATCATTAATTTAAATGTAACAAATAGAAGTGAATTTTGCACAATATAAATTTTAGCGCCCTTAATTGAATTTTAGTACCCTTCCCTTGCAGCTACATTTAAAAGACCTAAAGTCCATTGTTCTTGCATGGTTGGCTAAAATACCCCAGAGGGGCGTGAGGCTTCAAGGTATCAATAAGATTAAATACTAGCCCACTCCAAGTGCAAACTAAAAATGCCTAGGAGACTGGTTATGCCCATTTTGCCCAGAGACAGTGTTAACTGACAATGTGTTAAATAATTTGGAACTTCCTAAACTCATCATATGCACCTTATGTAAGGCTACAGTGCACTTTGTTCTGAATAGCGGCAAGCACATGCAATATGGACTAAAAGCAGAGGATTAGGAAGAATGTTAAATTCATATTTACATGTATCTGCAAAGAAATTAAGTGACAAAACAAAGATAGTAACGGAGTAACACAACAGAACACGGTTGGAAAAACAAATAAAGTGGGCAGTGTTTATGATGAGTGTAAATAATTCATGACTCAGGATAGGGACCAGTGGAAGGCTCTTGTGAACACTATAACAAACCTTTGGGTTCCACAAAATGTTGGGAAGTTCTTGAGTAGCTGCAGAACTTGCGGCTTCTCAAGAAAGGATCCATGAGGTTAGGTAGTAAATAATTGATGTAGAACAAGGTTAGAATGTTCTGAAATGTGATGCTATGTGGCTTGGTAGGTAGGTATCACCAATTTGGAGGAACCTGCAGCCTCTGTCTTTAGGATGTAAGAAGTTGAATTTTAGTTGTTCATGTTCATAGGTTTCATGATGTTTTCAGCCAAGGCCTTTTGATCACCATACAACTGACAGCACACACAGCTCTTAAGATTATTTAACTGAGCAGGTGAGCTGAAGCAGTAACACTTCAGACTAGCGTTCATGATGCGTGCAGTTCAAATGTTAGCCGGGACACCTGGTCTCCTGACTGAGGCTTTTCATGGTTTTCCTTCATCTCACCATGAAAGTGCAAGGACAGCACCTTTAATTGGTCTATAGACAGTGACAGCGTTTTAAAATAAAATACAAGTAAATCCATTTTTTTGGTCCAGTTTAGTTTTTCATTTCCTGTTATAATTAAAAACAGTGCTAGAATATAACCAGAAAGGAGGAAATTTTTGGTAAATGGACAAAAACTGAAATGCGGCACAGAAAAGAAACCCTGTGTTTAGGATGCAGTTAACTAACTCCATAGAGCTGAGTCCTTCTAGATAAGCTGCCAGTTGTGCTGCTGCTCAAGGACATGGAACCCAAAGTTTGATTACGGTGTTCACAGGAGTCCTCCACTGGTCCTTATCCTGAGCCAGATCTCTCTCATCATATAATATAAGTCAAATTGTGTGTGCGTGCGCATGTGCATATGTAGCGTAAAGCTTCTTGTGTATAATAGAAAATGTTATAATGGTTGTGTAATAGGCATATGTGAGTCTTCAGTGGGCAAGATGGAAGTGAGAAAATAGTCTTGATTTTGATTTGAATGCTGATTTTTCAGTCTTGAACTTTGAGAATTTACAGATAAATGCTTTTACTTTGTGCAGTAGCATGCAAACTACCCTGTCCATCTGGAATATAATACTGGGGACGACTAGTATGAAGAGCTCTCTCTCTCTTTCTCTCCTTCCCTCTCTGCCCATGGCAGAAGGGACATGGCCCTAGAATTGAGTTTTCATAAAGTACAATAATTTATGAAAACTTTTCATTGAAAAAAATGTCTGGTATCAAGAGGAATGAGTACTACATATTAGTGCATTGTGAAAAGTGACTGCTGTTGTTACAGTGAAAAAATTGGTCCAGTGGAGAGAATTGTTGTTTTTATCTCAGTTCTCCAAATTTTGTCAAAATTTTCATCTTGAACTAAAAATTCCTTCTTCCACATGCCAGACATGTAGTATTTTCAGGAGTAATTTACAGCTATACTGTGTGTTAAGTGTCATTTAATATTGCCATTGCAACTGTAGCACCAGAGTGATAATATTCATGCTGAATGCATACATGAATAATATGCTTTATATACATATTGTGACATAGTGCCTGAAAGACAGAATAGCAAAGCCAGAGTAGATGTTCATTGCTAGGCAATAACTTGGTAAACATGTTCCTGCAGCAATGAATAAGCAAGCAACAATCAAGGTATTGTTGAGCTATAATGAAACACAATAAAACAATTCAACCACTGCCACTGGGTGAAAACCCATTTGCAGTTAAATAATAATAATAAATCTGAAAGATTTCTCAGCCTGATCACCGTATAAAATCTTTATATATCTCTGCCTAGGATTTATTTAAAATTGATCTTGTTATTAGATTTAGTCCAAAATTTACTTTAATTGATACATTTTTGTGAGGATTACAGTATCAAATCTTATCAATATTAGGTGAGATTTATGGTCATGATGATAGTGACAGTGAAGGTTATTTTCTTCTGGAATGTGAGGCCATATAGTCTGATAGGTTGGCAGCTCTGAAATGTCAAAGCCTGTTTACCAAACTGCTTTGCATTACAACAATCTTAGCAGCAAAAGGGTTTATGCTTGTAGTGCCATAGTGCTCTGTATATAAAAATATAATTTGGAGCATATTTTGAAATAGGTTGAGTGCCAGAGACTAACAGACAGATTGACATAGAAACAGCTGTTGTTATTGGTGTGCATTGTTCAGTGTATGTTTCATTCTAGCATGCTCATGCTCTCGAGCTGCTGAAGGATCATTTGAAGGAAGGGGAACGGGCCCTGGATGTTGGATCAGGGAGTGGGTATCTGACAGTATGTATGGCTGTGATGGTGGGGGAGACTGGCATGGCTGTTGGAGTTGACCATATCCCTGAACTGGTTGAGTTCTCAATCAACAATGTACGGAAGGATAAACCTGCACTGCTTGAGAGCAACAGGCTTAAACTGGTTGGTGGGTACATATTTCTGTTGTGAAATGGAATGCAGTAGGAACAGTTGCTAACAGAAGACAAATCCTAACGATGAAATGTGATGGAGACCAGTTGCTAACATTGCAATGGAGTAGTGACTGGATGCTAACAGGAAACACCATCTAACAGTGAAATGTAGTGGAGACCAGTTGCTAACTGGAAGTACTGCCTAACAGTGGAATGTAGTAGGTAGCGGCTGCTACCAGGAAAAACCTCAGGACTGTATTCAAAATCCAATAAGTCGGTTCACATCTAACATCCATTCTTTTAAAACCGTATAAGTTACAGATAGACCTCATAGGCTTCATACTTAAGAGATTGTGATAAAAATTCTAACTAACAATTCAGAGAATTGTCTCACTAACTAATTTGCTAGATACTTCGTAAATATATGAGGGAGAGCCTGTAAATAGGTCACAAATGGAAGTAAAACAGCTGTACTGGATGTAATAAGTTTTCTATATGTATCACTAAGTAGCAGCATAGTCCAGCTTCATGTCAGTCTAGGTAGCAGATGTGCATGCTCATGTTCAGAGGCTGGTTTCAGAATCAAATTGGTGACCATGCTTGAAGGGTATACTATACTGGAGCAGCATTCTTTTGGGTGTTTTTATGGGAAGAAATACTCATTGTAAACGCTATTCATAAAAAAAAAGTTTCCTCAAGTTTAACTTTATTCATTCTGGTCTGTCACACTAGTCATTATTATAGAATGATTTGACTACACCGTCTAGTGTGACTGTATCGGTCAATGAATGACCATCTTCAGAAGCCCCATTGGCTCCCCACTCTGTCTTGCCCGGCTTCGCGGTGCTTGCACATTCCTCCTGCCTCCTGCATAAACCCCTTTCCTCAAAGTGGCCCTTGCACCCTCCCGTCTCCCGCATATGCCTGTTTCCTCAAACGCCCTTGCACACTCCTACCCAGGTCTTCGTTCCTATTCTCTCACCCGTGAAGCCAGGTGAGAGAGAGTAGTGAGCCAATGGGACTGGCCAACACCCATTCCTCTTATCTTCTGGTCCCTATATAATTGTTATCCTGACTGACAGCTCATTCTGCCAGGCCACCTGCTGTTGCTGGTTTCTTGTTCAGCCGGTTTTCGACTCTGAAGATGAAGGTGATACATTCCTCTGAAATGTCAGTTCATACCTGGACTACAAGGCGCTATATCCCAGAAGATGGCAATTTTTATCCTTTGGAACTGTTTTTCTATTTCTATGAAGAGAGAGAAAATATCCAAGGAACCGCTAAATTATTCATTTTGGGACGTAGTAATTTAGGAAGCGAGCAGTTGTGAATACTGGGGAATAATGTTATGCAGCAATTTAAGTTGGGCTGATGAAGTTAATTACATGATGAAAAAGCCTGGAAAACACTTCATTTTACATTGCATATTCTTAAAACGGGAAATAGTAACACTAAAAGTTTAGCCTACACGTCACTAGTGTGTCCGATTCTTGAATGTGGGGTAGCATGCTGGGATCCTTACAGGACGGGACAGAAAAATGCGCCAGACCGGGTCCAAAACATGGCGGCTAAATTTGCACATCATAGAAATTATTTGAACTGGGAAACCTTGACACAGTGCAGCAAGATAGCTCGCTCTCTTCAAAGCGTACACGGGAGAGCAGGCTTGGAAGGCTGACCATGCTATCTGAGCAGGGTCGATCTTGGTAGGAAAACTAGGAGCAGAAGGCAAAAGAAAGATATCAAAAAATATTCCTTTGTAAACAGGACCATGCAGCTCTGGAACCAACTGCCTGCAGATGACTCTCCATTCCCATGCTGTTTGCCACTAGCAGCATCCATGTTCATGCCCCCTCATATGTATGTTCCCACTAGTGGAGTGTATGTCACGTGTAGCATGAAGCAATTGAGTGTGATTTTAATGTTATTTTAAATTAAGGAGAGAATGTGAACGTCTTTAAGGTTAATGTTGTTTCGTGTATTTTGACTTTCTGCATTCTGTTCATTGAGTTTTCACTGTGTTAAAATCAGATTTTGTTTTATTGAAATTCTCTTTTGCAGTATGACACTTAGGACTTTATAATTCCTTCTGCTGAATGTACATGTGAAGTGGACATCATGTACTGTTACAATCTTGTTACAGTTGGAGATGGGAGGCAGGGCTACTCAGAGGATGCGCCTTACAATGCAATTCATGTTGGAGCAGCATCTCCTTCATTGCCTGAAGCGGTGAGTTGCAGGTTGCTGCATTACCATGGTTGTGCAGAAAGGGAAAACATATTAGGTGAAAGTTTTACCGGAAAATACTGTATGGAGATAAAACTGTTTACTAGGGATAGACCGGAAATGAAGTCCTTCGCACTGAATAATCGTATCTAAAGTTTGTCTAAATAGGGTACAAAACTATTTCTTCGCAAAAATTTTCATCTTTGATTGGGAGAGGGGGGGGTAGGCCATCTAATGTCTGAACTGTTCTTATAATCATTTTCGCCAGTGTTCTTTGTAGAAATGTCACTCTTGCACAATGCGGTATGTGCTGTGTGTTGTGGTAAATCAAACTCATGTTTCCTTTCCAGCTGATAGCACAGTTGAAGCCTGGTGGACGTCTAATAGTTCCTGTGGGTTCTGATGCAGGGAATCAGCAGTTGGAACAAATTGACAAAAAGGCTGATGGATCTGTGACAAGGACCCCTCTAATGGGTGTGGTCTATGTTCCCCTTACGGATAAGGATGCACAGTGGCCTGGAAGGTATCATTCCTGAGTAATTACTCTGCAGCATGCCTGCTTGTTGTTAAAGCACTTGCATGGTATAGCGTCTGTGATGGCCAAGATATTTGATATGTAATGCATATTTCTAAAACCACCTGTTAAGTTTGTGCTGTCAATCAGGCCACAAGTAACACACCACCTACACAACCAATTGCAGGCAATCTTAGCATGGTAGAGGTAGACTGATATTTGAATTTGGCTTAGTCAGTGAGATGTCTTGATTATGAACTGGATGGCTAGGGAATATGGGTTTGATTTGCAATGGGCAGGGATTCTTTTCTTCACAGTGTCCAACCCAGCTCTGATGCCCACCCAGCCTCCCATCCAGTGGGTACCGGGGACTCATTCCCCGGGGGAAAAGCAGCCGGGTGTGAAGCTGACCACTCACCTCCATCTAATACCAAGGTTAATAATGCATGGAGCTATACCTCCAGTTCCCCATACATCTTCATGGTGTGGTGCTTGATTAAGGACAGGGACAAGTTTGTCTTTTATCTTTAAATTTGATGTTGATTTAGTGTGCTTCATTTTAAGGAAATGTAAGCTTTCATGTTATAATAAAGTTCTTAGTATACTACTTTAAACTTTAACGACAGTCGCGACTGTCTCACAAACTGATGTGGGGCTCTGTAGCTCGCTGGATCAGACGTAGTCAGATTACATTTTCTCCTGATGTCCTTTGTTCACTGTTTCTGCATTGTGTTCATTTTCAGCCTTAGCTGTTGATAATATAACTTGAGACATGTAATTGAGAACAGTTTGTCTTCCCTTTGCCCCTTTTTCCCTTCTGATTTATTCTCTTACAGAAATGAGCTGTGATTGGCCACTACCAATGATGTAACTCGTTTTCTGCCCATCACCCAGGTGCTGTGTAATCGTATGACTCCTACATAACTGGTGCTCTCTGATTGGATCAAATCAAGGGATCTCCAGATTAGCAACCAATGAATGTGAAACTTGAACTGAAAGTCACGCTTAACCTCTCATCCTGTGGATTGATATGCATAACACACATTTTGAGAAATTCACGATAGCTTCTTGAGTCTTAATTTATGTATTATATTTGTGATGTAAATTTTGAGTAGGTAACTTATAAAATAATTTTGAATAATGTTCTCTTGAGTAATGAGTGTGTTTGTCAAATAAGTTTATGTTCAGACTATTATAGTATAGTAACATATTCAGCTGTTACGTAGCCTCTCATGCAGTCATTTATATTTATGTATTTATTTGAACTTTTTAAAATTATTATGTGCAACTCTTGTCAAGATGACGATTTTCTCCTTCACAAACAAAATGTTATGTACACGAGAATGTTGTGTCTTGTCCTCGCCTCTTGTGGTAAACATACTTAAATGTATAGTGAAGTTTGTTAATATTTTTGGAATCATGTTACAGGAACAAAAAGATGATTTCCCAGGAACATGATCTGTAGTCTGCTTGGCTGTTATGTCATATTTCCTTGTTTTAAGTATTAACATATAAAGAGTGAGACTATGTTTGATTTCTGCTGGATTCAGAATAAGGACTAGCCATGTAATTCTTGTATAATATTGAACGAGTCTGGTCTCTGTTAAGCTGTAAATTATGCTCTTCTTCCATTTTTTAAGATATAGTAATTTAAAGTTAGAAAATCCAGAAATGTTTATTTTCTTCAGAATTATGTTTCGTTGTAAATATTATGCATGTGTTATAATTTATTTTTCAGATTTGAGATTATAGTTGTGCTGTGTTAACTTACTAAGTCAGGGTTGAATAGAACAGTTGTTAAAGGAAATCCAAATAGTGGGGAAAAAATGTCCTGTTTTAAGTTTTGTTTTGATTAATTGCAGTTCAGATATCCCTGAATTTGACTCGTTACCTGAATATGATATCTCAGAATCTCTCATCTCACAAACCTCAGTTTTCGTTGATGGATTTTTTAACACTGATTTCTTGTATTCAGTTTAAAGAGTTCTATTTCTCATTGACAGAAATACTTGAAACATTTTAATAGTATATTCAGGCTAGTAAAGATTACTGGAATATTATGCAGGCTTGAAGAATTGAAAGTACAAATGAAAAGTTTTCATTTTAATATCCCAAATACTGACATGCATGTGATGCTGTCTGAGGTGCTTTGCAAGTTTGTTTTTGTTGAATGTTAGATGTTTTTAGTTTATTTTAAATGACTGTGGTATGTACAGTAACAACAAACTGTCTAAAGATATTTATGAAGTCATAAATTAATTTATTTCAAATATGGTCTTGTTTCTTTAAGAATGTTGTATCTATAATTTGCAGATTGTCCCATGTGTACTGTCTCCTACTTAGTATCAACCTCATATCATGTATATTTTTCCTGTCATCACAAGGCAATACAGGCTGTCGAACCTTTGCTTTAGGTACAATTGGTATGAAGTGTGACAGCGACATCAACATGTTACTTATACATATGTCTGGTGTGGAGGAAATTACACAGTACCAAAATTTAGGCACGTTATTACTTCCTCTGCTACCACTTGTGCCGTCTGTCTGCTCTGGGACTATATGTACCACTTGTACCGTCTCTCTCTGGCACCTTTCGGCTCCGTCTACCTTTCCTCAATCGGAGGGGGAAACGTTGCTCCGTCATACGGCTCTCGTGCTGTGCTCGCACGCTCCCTAAGTTAGAGTAAGGGATCCAAGCTAGCAGCGAAGTAAATGTAGTTACAAATGATGGCAATCAATATATTAACAAATAACAGAATTTAATATACACAACAGAAATTAAACAGAACAACTGAACTAACTGCACATTTACATGCTCGCACACAGCGGCATCTAACTCGGGCAGAATGGCCCATATTACTGGCGCAACAATTTGCCTTGGTTGCTTGAAAACATAACTACTACATTATAGCCGGGCCACAGGCTGAGTCTAAACTAAATACACAATATAAATTATAAAAACAGATTTAACCAAACTGGTACGAGTCGCCGCCGTCCTACAAACCCAACGACGGGCGACCGCGGGCGATCTCGTCGGCCGCGAACCAGCCCAGTACTTGCCGAAACCAAATTTGGACTCCCAGCCGAACAGGAATTTGACAGTCGCTCCGGCTGGCTCGGCGCCGCGAGCAAGGCCCTATGGATCCATAACCAGAACTCGAATTAACTTCCAAGCAAGGCTCCCAGGGGTAGAAAGGAGGGGAAAGGGCAACACCACGTGACCCAGTCCCGCATGGGGATGGGGTGGGGGATAAGTTTAAGAACCTCGATCAAGGGGCTGGAAGCCCATGACGTCATACCGGAGCCACTGCATGGCTCAAAGTCTTGGTGTGATTTATTTAGTGTGTGAGCTTTCACAAGTAACTAGTGCAGTTGAGTTAACTTTAAAGTCATTTATTCAATCATTCAAGTAGTCCAACATTATGTATTAACTTTCCATTAAACACAGTATACATCACATATGCTGTGCTCAACTCCTCCTTCTCCTAGCATCATTTCTGTTTTATATGAGTCATTTGACAGAAAACCTCCACTCTCTTCAGTATCTCACTTACTTTCCTTGCATCTTGAATGCTTTCTGTACATGGCTAAACCTTCGTGTTCCCATAGGTTTCATTTCTTTAAATTTCAGTTCTGATTCTTTTATCAGTATGAGGCTTCTCTCAGCTCTTCTCACCTGGCCAAACCAGTGTCATTCTCAAATAGAATCATTGTAACAGTTCCCCTTCTAACTCTGTCAACAAGTTGTGAGTTCAGACTTATTTGAAATTTCGTACTCGTATGTGCTTCTGTACTTCTGAATTATATTTCGTTGCTTTTCTTGTCATGTGTTAATTTGAAAGAACCGTATTATTAACAACTCTTTAATATCGAAAATGAGCACTTCAAGTATTTGTCAAGCTGACATTTCATTCATTCATTCATCAGTAATCTGACGAGACGACAGGTCCACAGTCTCTTCCAAAACAGTTCCTCCACTTGTTGTGATCTAGAGCTTTCTCCTTCAAATGAAAGTATCCTCTTCTGTCCCCAAGGTCATCCAGCATCTTCTTACGTCTTCTTCCTCATCTTCTGGTCACTTCTATCCGTCCCTCTATCTTTCCTTCAGTAACTTCTTTTAGAAGGCAGTTACCGCGTAAGATATGACCAATCCAATTAGCCTTCTGTTTTCTTATTTCGTGTAGGATATTCCTCTGCTCACTGACCCTAAATAACACTTCTTCATTCGTCACATAATCGGTCCAACTGATCTTTTCCATCCTTCTCCAACACCACATTTCGAAGCTTTCCAGGTGTTTCTGATCTACTGCCCTAAGTGTCCAAGTTTCAGCCCAATACAAAGCAATGCATTTCACTAGTTTCTTTCTCAAATTCAAGCCCAATTTGCTGGTAAAAAGATTCTTCTTGCTAAATGAAGCTTTTGCCATGGCAATCCTAGATTTAATTTCACATGTACACCTTCCATCATCTGTTAACAAGCTACCTAAATATTTAAAACATTTCACATTCTCCAGTTGTTTTTGGTCTATCTTTATTGTGATTGGGGTTGGTTGTCTTGAAATTTTCATTACTTTTGTTTTCTCCACATTCATTTCCATGCCATAGCACCTTCCAATTTCAATTAGTCTATCAATCATGCCCTGTAGCACAGTTTCTTCCTTAGCCATTAACACAAGGTCATCTGCATATTTCACAGATTGAATAATTTGCCCTCCTAATTTGAAGTCTCCAAGCCCGTCCAGAGCTTCTTTGGTAAGGCATTCGCTGTACAAGTTGAACAAAATTGGTGATAAACAGCATCCTTGTTGAACTTCACACTTCTTGTCTCCCCTCTGTCCAGTCGCACTCTAACTTTCTGATCCATGTAGAATTTACTAATCAATCTTCTTTCATGTCAATCGATACCTGTTTCCTTTAGGTTCTGTATTAATTTGGTCCAGTTTACACGGTCAAATGCCTTCTGCCAGTCTATGAAGCAAACACACAGTTCTTTATCTATATCCAAAGTTTGTTCTGCTATAATTCTCATCATCCCAATTGCATCCCTGGTTCTTTTCTTCTTCTAAATCCAAACTGATCCTCTCCAAGTATATCCTCTCTTTTCCTTTCAGTTATTCTTTTAAGTATCTTTGCTGTATGTGCAATAAGGCTTAAATGCTTGTTTCACAGGGAGAATTTGCTTTTAAGCCAAGAAGTAAAGCTGCAATTGTAAAACATAAAAAAAAATTCAGTGTCAGGTTTTCAGACGGTTAACTACTGGAGAGGAACCAGTATAGCTCAGTCAATATAGTGATGGGCTGCAGGTTGGACAGCTGGGGTTTGATTCCTGGCAGGAGCAAGAGATTTTTCTCTATTGGACAGTGCTCAGATTGGCTCTAGGGTCCACCTAGCCTCCTATGCCTTGGATACCAGGGACTCTTCCCCAGGGGTAAAGCAGGTGGAACATGAAGCTGACCACTCACTTCTGGCTAGTACAGAGGTCAAGAATGGTGGAGCTATAACTCCACTCCCCAGTATATTCATGCAGTGGTGCTTAATTCAGCACAGTTACAGTAACTTTTGCCTTTTACTCTGCTGGAATTTTTAGTATTCATATGTACATATCCTTATCTGCTTAGGAACGTGTGTGTTGACGGTAATGCAATTGGCAGATGTAGTCTCCTACTTCATATCATGGTCTTTTGTGTTATGACACTGTGTAAACTGATAGGTGTGTACCAATGTTTTGCAGCAACTTACGGCCTCCATCTTCAGGGTCTCCAGAATCAGAAGTTCCAATACTGATTTGTAAGACAAGTTTTGAATCTGTGTTTTGCATCGTTAACTTCGTTATTTACAGCAAGAGCTGTAGGAGAGCTTTGTGTTTGGAAATTTAATTTTACTACAATTTTTCACAATACTAAGCTGATTACTTCCCATACTTAAGATGAAATGGGGACACAAGAGTATGTCCTTCATGCAGATTTTTTGGAACTTGTTTTTTACTGAAACTTGTCATGTCTGCTGAGAGAGGTTGTCTGATTACAACAGTCACGTGTATGAGTCCTGCTGGAACCAACTTTCCTCTGACAATGATCTGGCCAGGGAGAAATGAAAGCATGAGTTGATGGATGGGGTACCACCAGATTCTGTCTCTGCTTGTTGCACCTGAGTGGTTGCAAACAAACATTTTAGCCATGTGGTTTGATGATTTTGTGAAATACATGAATGCCACCCCTGAAGAGCGAGAGTTGGACACCTCAGTTGATACAGCTATGGACTGGATGGCCTGGGTTCGATTTCCATTCTCAGTGGTGTCCGAACCATCTCTGGGGCCCACCAAGCCTCCTATCCAATGGGTACTGAGCACTGTTTCCCTGCGGGTAAAGCTGACCACCTACATCTAATGCTGAGGTCAAGAAAGGTGGAGCTATACAGCCACTCCACCATATGTCTTCATTCTTAAGCATAGGAACAACTTTTCCTTTCTCCTGAAGAGCAAATGTTATTAGTTCTTAATGGACATTTTGCACACATACATGCAATTAATGCAGAAGTCACTGAGAAGGCAAGAAAATGCCATAATGCAATTGTGTGTGTCATCTCATACAACACATTGTATGCAACCGCTGGGTGTATGGTTCCTGTTTCCCCTTGAGGCGTACTCATATTCTGGGTAAGAAACAGAGGTGCTTGGTCAGTAATCCAAATCTTGTTGTTACTCCACATGTAGTTAGAAGCTGTTTGGCATTACTTAAAAAAGTGGGAACTTATGTAAATGCATTCCAAATACTGGACTGTGCCCTTGCAATCAATTTGTTTTCTGTGACCACAACTTTGAGATTCATAACTGGAATGAAGATAATGATCATGAAGCAGCCAAAGATTGAGGTTTGTGCTGGAGCTTCAAACTGTTCTGGGCCACCTTCTAGCTCCCATGTGAGACCTTATGACATTAAACTTCTCCCACATTGTCAACAAAAATAAACTTACGAACAAGGGACGTAACACAGGTTTGGGCATTCTAATGTAATAACCTCTTCATCCTGCAAGAATTTATTGACAAGAACTAAAGGGAATTGTGCCAGACAACCAGGGGTTTCGGTAAGAAAACAGTAACTTTGTTTCAGAACTAAGGCAAGTGTTAAGAAAACAAGTAAGCCCAAAGCACAGAATATGTCTGATTGTAAAGAATGCAGAATATCAGTGCATTCTAGGAATTTTGGTGACAGTGCTGTTGGTGAAGCTGCTGAGTGGTTGTTCTGTGCTCATGATCACTCTCAAGATTACCATCTGGTGTTTGAGGTGCTACCATTGGGGCTCGAGAGCCGCATTTTTATGGGCCCAGTGTGTACAGAATCTAATAAATAAACACGTTTCACAATTTCCTTCCTCAGCTATTTTAACAGCAGAATACTTCTAAGTTTGTGATCATAATAACGTAGGTCTCATATAGAATCCATTTTTTGAATGCAAAAATTTGAATTCTTTGTCTTTTTACCATAACTTCTTTGTTGTGTTTTATTAATTTATATTATTTATATCACATAAAAGTAATACTTGGTTTTGCAAGCAATTTTTATTTACAATCCTTTGGCACAATCATTGATTGATGAACAGTACACTATTAGAATCTTTTCCATATTTTCTGCAGTCATTGGTTGTCCTTTATGAAATAGAATGTAGGCTGGAAAGGATCTTTCTACATCGCAAGATGTCACTGGTGCATGTTTTAACAAAGAAATTTTCCCAGAAGCAATGTCTTCAGGGGAATCTACATCTTTTCCATTAAGCACCTGCCAGACACTGATAAATGTCGCAAATCTAGGGTTTCCTTTTAACACCGCCTGCAATCTGGTGGGCACACTTTCACCAGCCCCCCATTCCAGAGCACTATGACTATCACTTGCATTTTTCATTATGTCCATAGATTCTTGCAGAGGAAGTCCCTTTTATACTCTCCGGAAGCCAGCCGAAATTGGTTCAGATATAGGCAGTTGAACAGGCCACTTCTGGATCGCTGAATGCACTCTGGGATTACACCGAAACAGCAAACTCAGATAGGAACTTGATTACAATTGATTTTACAGTTTCAAAATGTTCACAGTAGAAGTTCCCCATCTTGTTGGCACTAGTTCAGGGGGCAGTGATGCGTCGGGCAAGTGCTGCTTATAGGATTGCACTCAATGAGGGGCTTTCAGAAACACTTATGTATCATCAAAGTTACACGTAATTTATTCACTTGGGGGAACTTGGTACTAATCTCCTCGACAACGTCCTCTAACCTTCCCGCAAACTGGCTGCGAGTGACATGGAGAGGGCGTTGTACACATCGTACACATAGAGTAAGCCCTCGTTTTAATGGACCTATGGGGGGTTCCATTTCTCCAATGTTCGCCCTAACAGAGTGTATTGATATGCACGCAAGTTCACGATAGAGTACACAGCTAGTACACGCAATGAGCATAGAAACACATAATGTGATTGCATGAAAGTTTTCATGTTGTTTTTTTATTTTAAATAGTTTTCTAACAACAAAACATTCTTAGTGGCACAAAATCTCTAAAAATTCACAATTGTACACAGTGCAATTTAATACAAAATAAAGTTGACAAACCCATGGGACATTTTTTCTATATTACACAAATAATAAACGGATTAACTTAATTTCAATTACCTCTTCTGGATTTTATGTTAAGTTTATTTAAGAACCAAGATTTTGTCCGTTATAAAGAGGCTTTGCTGTCTGTTTGTGTGTGTGTAGAGAAATAGAAAGATAGGCAGAAAAGACGCAAATTGCTGTGTTTTGCAATACATTGTAAATTACTTCACATTTCCTGAACATGTCTTTGTCCCATAAGACCTAATGTAAAGATGTTTTCAGAGCACCGGGTCAAGGTACACACGCAAGGACATAACCCTCCCTCCAATTCCCTGCCACCCTCTTGCAGACATGTGCCATACGTTCTTGGGCTGCATGCAGTGGATATGAAACTACCTAGCTCTGTGTAGCAGCATTCAGACGTCTGTTTCAGCGTGCGGTGTAACGCGCAGAGAATTGTATCGTCCTTCAGGTATGCCGTGATATTGACAGGCTTTTTAACGTCAATATGCTGTCCATTCTACGTTCCGTAGTGAAAGGCTGGGAGGGTGTCAGAAGAATGTTTTTTGCTGTTACTAGTTAATGCATAGGCAGCCGATTGTAAAGCACAGAGCAGAGTTGACACCCGACCACGTTTAACTGAACTCGTTTCATTTCATACCTCATGAAAATTGAAATGAAGTTACTTTAAAAAGTACGGCAGTAAACACTGCAAAAAAGGTTTGTTATCTAATATAGTGGGACATGCGGTAGCTGAATTGGTTGAGGCATATGCTACAAGCCGGGAAGTTGTGGTTTCGATTCCCGATGAGGTCATTGGATTTTTTCAATTGACCTAATCATTTCAGTCGCACTATGGCCCTGAGGTCGACTCAGCCGCTAACAGAAATGAGTACCAGGAAACTTCCTGGGGGTAAAGGGCAGGCGACGCGTAAGGCTGACAACCTCACCGCCATCTGTGAGCCGACTGTCTAGGAATTGTGGGAGGCTCAACATCTCACAAACCTACGGACCCCCACGGCCTGCTTCAGAGATAACTTATATATATATATATATAATANAAAATCGGCTCACAGATGGCGGCAAGGTTGTCAGCTCTACGTGCCGGCCGCCCTTTACCCCCAAGAATATTCCTGGTACTCATTTCTGTTAGAGACTGAGTCGACCCCAGGGCCATAGTGTGGCTGGAAGGATTAGGTCAACTGAAAAAATCCAATGACCTCATCGGGACTTGAACCCGCGACTTTCCGGCTTGTAGCATAGTGCCTCAACAAACTCCGCTACCGTGTGCCCCAAGTTCTACTGTAATAACTTGAATAAAGTTGAGTTTATAAAATTAAATGTTAACCGTTCTTCGTGGTTTTAGGAATGATACGATAAAGAGGAATGAACCGTGTTCAGGATGAAGTGCAGCTATTTCTGTTCGCACTGTACAGAAGAAATGTGGTTTCAACGCAGTTAGTGGCGAATTTGAATCTGACGGTTCGAACCGAAGAGAGATGAAGGGACGGGAGGTAGGAGAAAACTGCACAATGAGGAGCTTCATTATTTGTACTCTTCGCCAAGTATAATTAGAATGACCAAGTCAAGGAGGATACGATGGGCAAAGCACGTAGCACGAAGGGGGAAAAGAGGAATGCTTGTAGGATATTGGTGGAAAAGCCAGGAGGAAAGAGACCACTAGGAAGAACAAGACGTAGGTAGATACATAATATTAAAAGGAACATCAGAGAGATAGGATGATATGGTGTGGACTGGATCGATCTGGCTTAGGATAGGGACCAGTGGACGGCTCTTGTGAAGACGGTAATGAACCTTTGAGTTCCATAAAACGCTGGGAATTTCTTGAGTAGCTGCACAACTGGTGGATTATCAAGAAGGGCCCAGCTACTTGAATGAGTGAGTGAGTGAGAGATATTGTGAAGCTGAAAAGAAAGATGCTCTTGTAACTTATCTGGGGGGGGGGAACTTTAAATTCAGATTTCAGTGCTCAGATTCGAAGGCAGCGCAGTTTTGTGGTTCAGTTCTCATGCGATATGGACCATACCAATTCTCTTGTTGAGTTCGTCAAAACAGAGGATCCTACCGTAATAATTCTAGGTCTGTTCGTCGTTTTGTGAGGTTAAGTACAGTAAACATGACCATTAATCTTGACATTGTCTGTTGCCTTTAGTTTCCTCAAATGTATTGTTTCGCAAAGTTCATCTGCTTCCGTCATCAGGTGTAACTTTGACACGTTCATGGAGTTCGTATATAACCGATATATTATGTTCGTTTTACTAGCTAACTTGGCTTTTAAAAGAAACCGTCTTATACCCTATTGCCGATTGAAAGTTCATGAAAGCTTTCTGTGATTCGTTGCATTTGTAATTCGGATTGCAGGGATTCTTTCTGATACAATTCATTTAGAGATATGCGTTCGTAACTGCAATGCATCTGAATTCACAATTTCGTTGATTGTCATTTATAGCAATTCTTAAAGAACTGAGAACACGTCTGTTGACAAAGTAAACCAGCAAAACCGTTTCTGACCAATACTTTTAAGCGAACGAAGGGGTAACAGAGATTCATGATGGAGTTCTTCTGTAACCGCTACATTATGTTTGCTTTACAATCTCCATTAGCTATTTAAAAGAATACTTACCATGCCACATTAGAATCGAAAGTTAATAAGATCTTGAGCATCCCTCGTTCCTATAGTTAGTTCTAGTATCAATTTGACTTTTTCCCTTCCTCTGGGGAGATATCAGTGAGTTCCGTGGCATTAATTGGCAGTTTTGTCTATTACCCTTCCGCTGATGATACTTGCCGTTGCAGAGAATACAGAATTATTGCTCTTCTTCTTGCGCTCAAAGAGAAGAAACCATAGAGGAAATAAAACTCAGGTGCATTGCCGCACGTCGCCATTAGGTCGGGAGTCAAACAGGGCTCGAAACTTGTGCGTCAAGGTTCCACTGAAATGCAAGCAGTCAGTCAGTCTTTTGATGTCCAGTGATTGAGACTAGGGCATTTTAACGAATGCAGCTGAGTAGGAACTCTAAGAGAAACAAATCCAGTTTGAGTTTCGGAGTTCGTATTTGTCAGTTGAGGAAATTGACATAAATTTTGGACGGGTGACTCTGACAAGAGGACCTGAGCGCGGGAAGCTGTCGAATCTCTACTGTTAGAAGCCGTTGCTAGGTTACGGCCGGAAAAGGCTTAGCGAGTACTGTGGTGGACTGTGAATTGTAGAGATTAGCGGTGGTGCTGTAATTACATGTATTTCCGAGTCTTGTGTACAAGCTGTTAAATTAGGACGAGTATATGGGACTCGTTTCATTCACAGAGCATCATTCGGCAGAGGTGGCGGGAGAACTTCACCCTTCAGCACAATTCCCAGCGACACTTCGCCGTCTCAGACATTGGGAAGGTCCACAGGAGGAAGAATGTTTCTTGTTCTGCTCTTTGCGACAATGTTTGAAGGGCAGGTCACAACAAACACTGCCCTATGTGGTAACTGGGAGATTCTCAAAGATCTGTGCGCCGTGTGGTCGTTGCGAAATGTTGGTCTGATCTACAGCGGATCCTTCGAACACGGTGAGTGGCGCAGGATCCATTTTCAGGACGAAAATTTGTCTTTTGCACCCTCACCACATAATCGCACAACTGTGTTTGTGCTTTTAACTGAATTACACAATACAATAATCAGGGTCTTAAAATCTTATTCGTCCATATGTTTCGACTTCTTCGGGTCTTTCTTTAGTTTCTTGGGCTGGAGTGAGACGGAATTCACTTGATACGTCGGCCACTAATTGGCCTATTGTTCCAACCCCGGATGACAGATGACGATGAGTGTGGAGCAGTCGGTGGAATGAGAATTGACAGGGGAAACCGAAGTATTAGGAAAAAACCTGCCCCAGTGCCATTTTGTCACCACAAATCCCACATGACCTAACCTGGGCCCGAACCCCCGGACGCCGTGGTGAGAAGCCGGTCACTAACCGCCTGAGCTATGGCACGACCGTTTTCTTCAGGCGCTACAAAGGATGTATTTTGCAAACCGCTGCAGAATACTCTAATACATGAATTCAGAGTTGTATTATTTAAGGAGAAACATGAGTTTGCAATTGAATTTCAAACACAGGATGTCCTGAAAGTAATTGTGGGTATGCAGGAGGTTGTAACCACTTCATACATTAAATAAACAATTCAGCGAGTTGGCGTGTAACTCAGAGAGTCCCTCTCAGTGAATTTACAGGTACGTTCCTTTCATAACATATGGCCCAAAACTGATTTGAGCCCATCCCTGGAGTCGGTCTAATCAACATCTGCAATGATCGGCTTTTTGAGTTGGCCACCCGCCCAGTGCACCCACACGCATCGCTGTTGACACAATTCTACAGCGAAGAAAGAGTTTGTGGCCACTGCCCATGCCTGGTCACTTGATCTACCACAGTTATGCCCCATGACATTTCCTTGTGGAGATACTTGACAAGTGCCTTGTGGGGGAGCAATGGCCAAAACAGCGGATAGCACCAACCAGCAAATTTACTTTGAAGTCGGTTATCGGCTATATATTTGTGACTCTGCGAAAGTGACGGGCGAGGAAGCTTTTCTGAGAGAAGTGTGTCGAGTTACTTAATTTCAGTAAAATATTTCTTAAATTTCATTCATTCATTCATTCATTAATGGCCCTGGCCTCTTCAGTTTCGTAACCTTTTCTTACACAGACGTCACGGCTCCTTGGATGAGCGGTTTCTTCAACTTAGCCTCTGAAAATCCCGGAATGACTGTCTGTATATCCCCTGTTCTAAATAAATCCAGTTTTCTAAATTGAATTTAGTTGTGTTTTATGAAATTACATCATATGAATATTTGGATTTTTTTAGCATTTTAATCAAATCTGAGCCAATATAAGTTAAACTTTATAAATACAGGGTGTTCTGCTTAGTTTATTTCTATAGTATACTTAGTTACTGCCACTGAGGGTCAGGTAAGGAAGCACACTGCATTTTATTTGTGATCGAAAAACACAGATGTTACCACTGCTTTTCCTCTAGTTTTGTTCAAGATGGCAACTTAATCTGCCTGTAAATGTTGTTCCAAATGCGCTCCCCCTAAGAGAGGCAAGTGAACAGAATCTGATGGATTCTGTTATTTATTTTCCTCTTAAACCTCTACAACATTTCTTTGCTCCTATTGCAGCTGGGATAAAACTCAAATGTTTACTGAGAAATTCTTTGTAGTGTGGAGTTCAGCTGTTCATTTCTGAAGTGTCTTATTGCTAGACCTCGACACATGCTTTGTTACGGTATTCATCGCAAATGTAAGACTGCGCGTCCATTCATGGGGTTAAATTGCGCATGCCACTCAATTAGTGATTACTGTGGATGTCGCTACAGAATTTGTTTTTTCCTTCGTGTCTGTATCGGCGTAAACGTTTCTTTTCTTCTCTGTGACATTTTATTTACTCCTTTAAGAGTTGTTTAATGTCACTGAAATTATAACAGTTGAAACTGCAAGATACAACAATGATCACAATCCTGCTGACTACATTTCGCGATTGTCCTCTGTGACAGGACTTCATGCAATGATCATCACTGACTGACCTTTCCCCCTTCCGCGGGCATTGGGCTCCCTTTTCGTCGCCTCCCACAACTCACAGGGCTACGGTGGAGGTATTCGACCCCGCCTCCACACGGGCTGCTCAGTCTGTTACTACTACCACCCGAGACAGTCTTCCTTATAACCCCTTTGCACGGACCGAGAAAACACAGTTCTCCTATTGTTGCGCCTGCAGTGGTTACCGCCAAGACGTGTATACCGCGCCGTTACTTAGCAATGACAAACAGAGGCGCAGAAGACAGAAAACACACCTTCCAGCATTTCCTCTGTTGTTGCGTGTTGATTCGTTGCCTTGGGAACCTGTTTGTTTGCGACCGTTACACAGTAACGGTCTACACGTCAGAATGTTTTTATAGGCAGAACAACAAAAATAACATTTTTGAGGGGAAAATGGTAACATATTTTATTTATGTGCAGAAATATATGCTAGATTCCTCCTCAGTAGTTTAGCTTCATTGATTAGTACCAAACTTCAGCTGCTAGATGATTCTATAACAAACTTTCGCATTAACGGAAGCACTTGCTATGTAGTCACTTTGCAATGATACCGGAAGTTTATGTTAATGTGTAAGTTAGTATCACAAAGGCTGTTCCAGTTCATTACATTTCTGTGTACGTTTGTAACCACCCTCAATGAACGGAAGAGAGGAATATGTTGCTGTGCAAATTACAACTTAATGATATTGCCGTACGTGTGCGCAATTATTTTGGATCATGGGCCAAATCGGGAGCGTAGATAAACTTTACTGGCTACACATATTTATCGATATATAACTGTGTAAATATTTAACACATATCCACCATTTGTACATGCTTGAAATTGCGAGGGGATTTCTGTCGCCTGGAATGTAACGCCAGAGCAATACAAGCTCTGCTTGCTACCTGCTTTGCACTGATTTCTTGCTCGTCTCATTCTTCGATTCTGAAGACGGAGACGAAATTTTCCTCCGAATGTCGATTGACTTTCAACGCACTACATGGCTTTAAATCTCAAAATATAGAGCACTTCATAACCGCCGCTGTGAGAACCTCAAACTCTACACGGAAATTAGATGTTCGTAGTCAATCCATTCCTCCATTGAATTCTTGGGTGGGCCTAGTCCGTCTAGAACCACAGTTCTCTTGGTCTACGATCTGCCAGCTGTCCCTCTGCTCGTACTTCAGGATCTGTTGGGGGACGCGGCCGTGTTCCATCACTTCTGCACGTCCTACCCATTGCTTTCTTTCTCATACTTTTTTTTTTTTTTTCAGAAATAGAAAATTCTAACTTGTATTGCTTATCTCCACACTTATTTGGTCTGCTTTTATATACCTTTCAATGCTATTAGGAATCTAATTTCTGAAGTTTTAGATTACTACAGCTCTTAGAATTTGATAACTTTGAATTCAATAACGGTGGGTTAGGGCACGTTCAGTTTCGATTAGGTTGGTATACGTTAGATCAGGTTAGGTTCGGTTTCGTGGCAGTTACTCACTACACGTGGCAATACAATAGGACGATTCGGATGAAGTGGAAAAATGTCAGTTTCGTTCTCTCTTACCATCATCAGTTGTGTATAAATACAAACAGTACTGAAATTAAAAAGACTGGCTACGGGCTGGACGAGCTAGGGGTCGGAGTTCGAGTCCGGGTAGGATCAAGAATTTCTCTTTTCAACTTCCACCCAACGTCCTATTCAATGAGTACAGTAGACTCTTTCCACGGAGGTAAAGCGGCCGGAGCATGTAGCTGACCACTCACCCCTCATACGCCTTCAAGGCATAGTGATTAATTAGTTAAGCTAAGGGACAGCTTTACCTTTACCGTTGCCCTAATAATGCTGGATTAATTTGTTGAGCATTTAACGACGTTTTCAGTAACTAAGTTTCCGTAGCGTAGAATTTATTAAGGAACAATGAATTTGGTGAGAAGTGCAAATGAGCTGTTGTGGCCGAATTGGGTAATTATTCCAGAGTGGACTGAGGAGAATGACGAAAACCTGATTTGAATAACGCCATGTCCCCTCCAGAATGATCATCATCAGTAATCTGTCAGACGACAGGTCCACAGTCTCTTCCAAAACAATTCCTCCACTCAATGCGATCTAGAGCTTTCTCCTTCAAATGAAAATATCCTCTTCTGTCCCCAAGGTCATCCAGCATCTTCTTATGTCCTCTTCCTCTTCTTCTGGTCACTTCTATCCGCCCCTCTATCTTTCCTTCAGTACTTCTTTTAGAAGGCAGTTACCGCGTAAGATATGACCAATCCAATTAGCCTTCCGTTTTCGTATTTCGTGTAGGATATTCCTCTGCTCACTGACTCTAAATAACACTTCTTCATTTCTCACATAATCGGTCCGACTGATCTTCTCCATCCTTCTCCAGCACCACATTTCGAAGCTTTCCCGGTGTTTCTGATCTACTGCCCTAAGTGTCCATGTTTCAGCCCCATACAAAGCTATGCTCCAAATGTAGCATTTCACTAGTTTCTTCCTCAAATTTAAGTCCAATTTGCTGGTAAAAAGATTCTTCTTCTTGCTAAATGCAGCTTTTGCCATGGCAATCCTGGATTTAATTTCAC